TTAGGCAACCAGTTCACTCAGTCTTTCATTTATGTTTCCTCATCTATGAAGTAGGAATAATATTACCTGTCACACAGTGTCGTTGTGATGATTACACATAAGCAAGCATAGAAAATTCCTGGCACATTATAAGTGCCAATATTTCTCTACGAGAGCTCCGCAAGAGAATTAAACTCTACAGAAAATGGTTTGAGTAAACTACACTGACTCTTGAACAACATGGGGATTAAGGGTGCCGATCCCTGCACATTGGAAAATCTACGTATAACTTTAGACTCCCCCAAAACTTAACTACCAAGAGCCTACTTTTGACTAGAAGCCTTATTGATAAACAGTTAATTAACACATTTTGTATGTTACATGCATTGTAGAGTTTGTTCTTAAAGTAAGCTAGAAGAAAGGTTGTTAAGAAAATCATAAGGAAAAGAAAATGTATTTATTATTCATTAAATGGAAGTGGATCATGGCAGTGGTCTTCATTTTTATCTTCATGTTGATTAGGCCGAGGAGGAGGAGGAAGAGAAGGGGTTGTCTTGCTGTCTCAAGGTGGCAGAGGCAGACAAAAGTCCATCTGTTTGTGGACCTGCACAGTTCAAACCCATATTAAGGGTCCATTGTATTTTCTCACTTCTTCCAGCAGTGGTACATGGTACTACTCTAGATGCATAGATCATACACATACAATGATGCTCTAGACATTAGGACTTAATCCTTTGGGAATCTCAAATGAGAAGGGCTTGTGTTTTAAGTGTTCAATGTGTAATAGCTATTTGGTTGCAAGTGGCAAAAATTTGTATTTCTCTTTTTCTTTTTTTTTTTTTGAGACAGGTTCTCACTCTGTCTCCCAGTCTGGAGTGCAGTGACATGAACACAACTTACTACAGCCTCAACCTCACAGACTCAAGCAATCCTCCCACATTACCCTTCCTGGTAGCTGGGACCACAGGTGCCCATCACCATGCTGAGCTAATTTTTTAAAATTTTTTTTGTAGAGACAGGGTCTTGCCATGTTGCCCAAGCTGGTTTTAAACTCCTGTGCTCAAGCAGTCTTCCCACCTCAGCCTCTGAAAGTGCTAGGATTACAGGGATAAGCCACCATGCCCAGCCAGAAATTTATATTTAAACTGGTTTAAATAATAAAGGGACTTTATTGTTCCATGTAAATGAGAAAACAGGGAAGGCCTCAGAGATGATATGATAAGGACTCTGACTTAGTATCTCTGCTATTCTATTAGTTCAGCCTTTTCTGTGGCAGTTCATTCGAACTAATATTTCTAACTAAATTTTCTTTCTTTTTTTTTTTAAAGACGGGGTTTCACCATGTTGGTCAGGCTGGTCTTGAACTCCCTACCTCAGGTGATCCACCCGCCTTGGTCTCCAAAGTGCTAGGATTACAGGCATGAGCAACCACGCCCGGCCTCTAACTAAATTTTCGAAAGAAGAATATATATTTTTCCAAAATACGGGCTTTTGGCTAAAAAGCGTAAGGTGTATTTTATATACGTATATTTTACAAGCCTAGCATATTTGGAATATAGTAATTGTTAAATAAGACAGTTTTGGCTTAGATAACTGTATCTGATATTAGTATGTGTAAATATACAGTTATGCATTGCTTAACAACTAGAATATGTTCTGAGAAATTCATCCTTAGGCAGTTTCATCATTGTGTGAACATCGTAGAGTGTACTTACACAAACCCAGATGGTATAGCCCTCTACACACCTAGACTATATGGTGTAGCCTCTTGCTGCTAGGCTACAAACCTCTATAACATGTTACTCTACTGAATGCTGTAGGCAGTTGTAACACAGTGGTCAGAATTTGTGTATCTAAACATAGAAGAGGTACAATAAAAATATAAAAGATTTAAAATGGTACACTTGTGTGGAGCATGGTATGGTGAATGGAGCTTGAAGGACTGAAAGTTGCTTTGGGTGAGTCAGTGAGTGAATATGAAGACCTAGGACGTTACTGCACACTGCTGTAGACTTCATAAACACAGTACAGTTAATTTATACTATAAATTTATTTTCTTAATTTTTACTTCTTCAATAATGAATTAACCTTAGCTTACTGTAACTTTTTTGCTTTATAAACTTAATTTTTTAACTTTTTGACTCTTTTGTAATAACACTTAGTTTAAAATACAAATATATTGTACAGCTGTACAAAAATATCTTCTTTATATCTTTATAAGCTATTTTTTAACTCTTTAAACTGTTTTATTAAAAGCTTAGGCATATGGCCAGGCACAGTGGCTCACACCTATAATCCCAGCACTTTGAGAGGCCAAGGCAGGCAAATTACTTGAGGCCAGGAGTTCAAGATGACCAGCCTGGCCAATGTGATGAAACCCCATCTCTACTAAAAATACAAAAATTAGCCAGGCATGGTAGCATGCACCTGTAGTCTCAGGTACTTAGGAGGCTGCTTGAACTTGAAGTAGAGGTTGCAGTCAGCCAAAATTGTGCCACTGCACTCCAGCCTGGACAGAGGGGGACTCTGTCTCAAAAAAAAAAAAAAAACACAAAGGCACACGCACACACATTATCCTAGACTTATATAGGGTCAGGATCATCAATATCATTGTCTTCTACCTCTACATCTTGTCCCACTGGAAGGTCTTCAAGGGCAGTAACACACATTTGGCTGTCATCTCCTATGAGAACAGTGCTTTCTTCTGGAATATCTCTTGGAGGCCCTGCCTAATTGTCTGAGGCTTACAGTTAATTTTTCTTATATAAGTAAAAAGAGTATACTAAAATAATAAAAAGTATAGTATATTAAAAAACATAAATCTGTAACATATTATTATCAAGTATTATGTACTGTGCAAAATTGTATATGCTGTACTTTTATACAACTGGCAGCACAGTAGATTTCTCCACTCCAGCACCACCACAAACACATGAGTAATATGTTTTACCATGACATTGTACAACTACAGTGTCACCAGGCATTAGGGATTTTTTTATTATACTCTTATGGGACTGACTTCATGTATTCATTCTGTCATTTACCAAAACATCATGTGAAACATGACTACATGACAAAATAATTTTAAGCCTATAGAAGCTGTAGTTGGCCTTTTATGTCTATGCAAACATTAGTTACACTAAACCACTGCAGCAGGCCATATTCTAGTAAAAGGTTTTTAAGACAGATTGCCAAGAGAAAGAGAACAAAGCAAAACAAACAAAACAAGGAGTTTATAGGAATAAGTTGATGAAAGGATTTGAAGGACAAACTAAGGGTAGTTAGAGATGCAGTTTGGGTAGGAAAGACTGTTAACATAGGACCGCAGTCTTGTTGGAAAGATGCTTGACTCTTGTTTTTTTTAGATGGATTTTTGCCCTTGTTGCCCAGGCTGAAGTGCAGTGACATGTTCTCGACTCACTGCAACCTCCGCCTCCCAGGTTCAAGAGATTCTTCTGCCCCACCCTCCTGAGTAGCTGGGATTACAGGTGCACACCACCACACCCAGCTAATTTTTTGTATTTTTAGTAGAGACAGGGTTTCATCATGTTGGCCAGGCTGGTCTCGAACTTGTGACCTTAAGTGATTCACCCGCCTTGGCCTCTCAAAGTGCTGGGATTACAGGTATGAGCCACCATGCCCTGCCTATTGCTAGAACAGTTCTATTTGGTACTTCCTGCCGAGGATGTTAGTGAATAGTATGTAGGATGAAGGTGGAGGGTGGACGTGACTTCAGTCAGGGAACTAAACCAGAGGATGTTCAAGGTCCCTTCTGACTATGATTTTAAAGATAGGAGGAATCTCCACATTGACAAATACTTTTCACAGCAACCCATTACTCTCAGGGTAATTGTAAGACACGTTTTAAAACCTGCTTTTTAAAAAACCTATGAATACTTGGATAGTACTAAGGTAACTTTTACAGGGACTTCAAAGCTCTCTAAAGTCAGAATGTGTGTCTTTCTGTTCTATATGTATTGATATTAAATGATCTCCAAGTTGTATTATTGAGAGAGAATAGCAAAGTACAGAATAGCATACCTGCTGTTTGTAGTACGAATAAATATGTGCGTGCATGTATTCATTTATGTTTGATTATATATGTGTAAAATATCATGGAAAGACTACACCAGAAAACTATTAACAATGGTTGTCTCCATGCAAGGAAACTGGGTGATTGGCAACTGTTAAAATAAGCCCATAGTCTTTTGGTATGAGAAGTTACTCAGTAGTTTCAGTAGAAGGCTCCAGATCAGAGCTGCTTAACATTTTAAGCATCGACACATGGCTTCCTAATTATAAATAATCTGGAGACATCAAAAACAGTTCTAGTTTCACTGTTTAATAAGCTCTTTATCTGAAAAATAATTTATATTTGTTTTCAGGTAATATAAGAAAAAGTTTGTCTCTTTACCAATCTATATCCCTAGAAAATAGTCCCAACACTCATCTGAAACAAAAGAATCAGAAGCAGCTTTTAATCAGCTATGTCTGAGACTTCCAATCCACATTGAGAGCTAATTAAACAGAGGAGACTCAAAGCTGTCTTCCCCCTTTTAGAGTGATTTGGACAACTTTTTTCTTTTTTTCCCCTTTTCTGTTCCCCAAGCAAAAGCGGATTCCCAATGAAGCTGTGGGAAGCTTGCCATCTTCTTGACTAAGTATTGAATCTTACGGTGTGAATAGAGAATCATCTCCTCTCAAAATAACTAGATAAATGGCTTTGAAACTCTATGATAATTTTTTCGTCCGTACAACCATTCAGTTACTGATTTCTGAGATTCCTTCAAAAGATATATTTTACAAATTATATTTGTTGTAAACCTTTATTAAGCATTTTTAAAGAAATTCAGCATAGTTTACTATGAATTGTTTGTCAGAGGTAGTTTGAGAATGGATTTGTGCAGAATTCAACTGATTAAAGAGTACGTGCCTGTGGTTTTCCCATATCTTGAAATATTTGAGTACATGCTATGAAAAATTGCCTCTTGTTTTTGCTTTGTTGTTTTGCCACAAAACAGAAAGAAGAAGGAAAGTTTCAAGGACAGCTTAACAAGTCTGATTCTAACCAGTATATTAGGGAACTGAAAGATCAGATAGCAGAGCTGAATCATGAGGTAAGTGATAAATTTTGATCTTCACTTATTTCTTTCTTCCTTCCTCTGTATTGTAACAACACTTGATTACTGGTTATAAGACTGACTCATGCTGAATATCTTCTATGAATTATTGGTTATAATAATATTTTTGAAGATTGTCTTCTTTTTAGCAAGATCTTCTGTTCTAATATTGGGAATTTATTTACCTTTAACCTCGTTAACATGACCTAAAATGATCAATTAATATTTTCCTGGCAAATATTTTATTTTTTTTATTATGGTATAAAAACTCTTGATAGTTTACATAGATGTCAAAGTTACTTCAACTAAACTAAAATGCTGCTTATACCTATAGAATAGATTTGTGGTATTTACCGTTGCATGCAGAGGGAAGTCTTTTTACTCTTGTCTTCTTTCCCCCTCATGGTGGTATTACTGAGATTGCAAAAAAGGATACTTGCCTAATATCAGTTAACAGATTTCTTAGTATCTGAATGCTTTTTAAACTGGCACTACCTTGAATCTGTGAGATTCAACTCACAAAATTTTCAGTTTTGCTAAATACTGTACTGAGTAATTTAATATGTTTTGATTAAAGAGATACTTGCTGTTAATGTGTCTCTAGGTCAATTTTCTTGTCCTTTATTTTCTATTCTAATGATAATATTTGGCTAAACACTAATGAAATACTGTATTTCTTGTTTTACGTTATTTACAAAATAATGTTTATTCACATTGATGAGACTTGAGAGGGTAATATAACCTTCATTCATTTAAAAAGAAGAAAAAGAAAGAAGAAAAAAGAAAACTCATTTTGAACACTAAATGAATTTAAACCTCAAAGGAGAAAGTTTAGACATTACCCTTTCCTGGTATTACGCCCTTCAGTTAAAGTCTGTGTGTTTTGGGTAATACCTCCTGGAGGTAGTCAGTCAAAGAGTAAATTCTAAATGAAGGAGAAACAAAGCATAAACAAAAACAGTAAATCTTAGATATGGCTCAGTTTAATTTGTTTTGAAATTTGGTGGATCATTCCTGTAAATATTAATTTCCAGCCATGATAACATTTGAGGGATTCAGCATCTTACATATAATCTTTACCTATTTGTATTTATTTCTTACAGTCTTTTTAAATCGATAGCCATAGTGTGAAAGAACAAGTTATACATAAGTGTGTTCTAGAAGTCTTTATTCTTTTGAGAACCTTAGGAATTATTTATGTTCAAAAGGTGTTCTCAAAGGAAATTGTGACTAAAATAAAGCAACCTCCTGTTTTAAAATTTTGACATCTCATGATAAGGAAGCTTTAATGTTGCTGAAACAAGAAAGTTACATATAGATTGACTTTATTTCTAAAACTAATCTAAAAATCAGTCAACAAACATTAATTTTCCCTTGGCATATGATTTGACTCAAAATAAGGATATTCTGGCTGGGCATGGTGGCCCACACGTGTAATCCTAGCACTTTGGGAGGCTGAGGCAGGTGGATCACTTCAGGTCAGGAATTTGAGACCAGCCTGGCCAATATGGTGAAACCCTGTCTCTACTAAAAATACAAAAAATTAGCCAGGCATGGTTGTGTGTGCCTGTAATCCCAGCTACTGAGGAGGCTGAGGCAGGAGAATCACTTGAACCTGTGAGGCGGAGTTTGCAGTGAGCCAAGATCACACCACTGCATTCCAGGTGACACACTGGGACTCTCATAAACAAACAAACTAACTCACTCATTAGGACTGCCAGAAAATAACTCACATTAAGTTTTAATTTTAATTCAGGGTTTTTTTTTTTTTTTTTTTTTGAGACGGAGTTTCGCTCTTGTTACCCAGGCTGGAGGGCAATGGCGCGATCTCGGCTCACCGCAACCTCCGCCTCCTGGGTTCAGGCAATTCTCCTGCCTCAGCCTCCTGAGTAGCTGGGATTACAGGCACACGCCACCATGCCCAGCTGAATTTTTGTATTTGTAGTAGAGACGGGGTTTCACCATGTTGACCAGGATGGTCTCGATCTCTTGACCTCGTGATCCACCCGCCTCGGCCTCCCAAAGTGCTGGGATTACAGGCTTGAGCCACCGCGCCCGGCTAATGTCAGTTTTTTTATGTGTGGCCTAAGAAAGGAGTCTTACCTTATACAAACATGAAAAGAAAATTAATCAACAGGATAGAATTTTCTACTGTTAAAATTAAAAATTAGATTGTGCAAATTGAAGAATAGAAACCAAACAACTGCTTCTTTTTAAAAAAGAAAGAAAAAAAAACCTTTAAAGCATTTTTATTTATTAATATCCTTCCTCAATGCAGATGGAATTAAGGAAATTTGCAACTGCTACAAATAACAAACTATAATTTTGGGAGAAAAAAGAAAAAAACTGTAGGAATATAATATGGAAGCTTGAATAAGACCATTATAAAAATGCATACCATAAAAATACCTATTTCCTATAAGTGGGTCTCAGATTTGGCTCAGAGGCTTTTAGCGCAAAAGAAAACCTGGTCACTTAAACATTTCAGAGTGTCTACACTGAAATGTAGATTCATTTCATGAAATGATGAGAACAGACCGGTTAGCTAGAAGAGCCACACTATTCCTGATACTAAGATTAAATAACAGTTTATCCATTGCTTCCTCAAAGGAGACCTAGTATGAGTTCCCTGGTTATTATCCTTAACATTCTGGAATAGAATGACTTCATAATGATAAAAGTTAAATAATTTAAAGAACAGAAGTTTAAAAAAAAAAAAAAGTATGTAGACTGGGCAATGGCTCATGCCTGTGATACCAGCATTTTGGGGGACCAAGGTCAGAGAGTCACCTGAGCCTGGGAGTTCAAGACCAGCCTGAGCAACGTAGGGAGACCCAGTATCTATTTAAAAAAAATAAAAAACAGGTGTGGTGGCATGTGTCTGTGGTCCCGTCTACTCTGGTGGCCGAGTCAGGAGGCTTGCTTGAGTCCAGGAGGTCAATGCTGCAGCGAACCTTGATCACACCATTGTACTCCAGCCTAGGTGACACAGTGAGAGACCCTGTCTCAAAAAAAAAAAGTTTTGTATAGCAGCATAACATACAGAGAAGTGTCCAAGTCAAAAGCTCAATAAATTGTGACAAAATGATCATACTCATGTAGGTACTACCCAGGTCCAAGAAATAGACCCAAAGCCCTGTTTATACTCTTTGAACCCCGGTTCTCTCCCTTCTCCTCAAAGGTAACCAGATCTCAGACTTCTAATACAGTAGTTTAAGGTTTTGAACTTTATATAAATGGCTTTTTGCAGTATGTATTCTTTTTTTTTTTTTTTTTTTTGGAGACAAGTCTTGTTCTTGTTGCCCAGGCTAGAGTGCAATGGTGCGATCTTGGCTCACTGCAACCTCCGCCTCCCAGGTTCATGTGATTCTTCTGCCTCAGCCTCCTGAGTAGCTGGGATTACAGGCATGCACCACCACGCCTGGCCAATTTTTGTATTTTTAGTAGAGACGGGGTTTCTCCTTGTTGGTCAGATTGGTCTTGAGCTCTCGACCTCAGGTGATCCACCCACCTTGGCATCCCAAAGTGCTAGGATTACAGGCACCAGCCACTGTGCCCAGCCTGCAATATGTATGTCTTGCTTCTTTTGCTCAACATTGTTTGTGAGATTTTACTGTGTCATTTTAAAGTGTAGCTGTACATTGTTCATTTTCATCACTGTACAGTTTTCCTTTGTATAAATATACCATGATGTGTTAATGAACATTTGGATTATTTCCAGTTTGGTCTGTTAAGAACATTGCTTTAGTGATTTATGCCAGTTTATACTGTCTATAAACAGTAAAGAAAGTTCTTACTGTTCTGCATCCTCATCAACATGTGGAATTGTCAGTCTTTTTTATTTTAGCCATTCTGTGACTATAAAGAGATTTCTCATTATAGTTTTAATATGCATTTCCCTGATTGATAATGAGGTTGAGTACTTTTCTCCCAGTATATAGAACAATGTTGGCATGTAGTAGGTGCTTTGTGAAAATATTTCTAATGAGAAAATGATGTTTGTGGAAGGTTTTGCAGATGAGGTAACATGTATGTTGCACGGTAACGCCAAGAAGCTTCTTAATATGTGAAAATCAGTGGAAAGAACATTCCAGACAGGAGAAACAACTAGCCCAAAGACCCTAGAAGAAAATGAAATGGTCATTTTGAGAAACAATACTAGTGTGTCTGGAGTATAGTGAAGGGTAGGAAAAATTGTATAAGATAAAATTAGAGAGCCAGGTGAGGTCAGATTATTTACAGTTGGTCCTCTATATCCATGAGCTTTGCATCAGTGGATTCAACCAACCATGGATCAAAAATATTTTTTAAAGACTATTGGATCTGTATCTGTACTGAACATCTACAAACTTTTTTCCTTATTATTATTCCCTAAACAATACAGTGTAACAGTTTATATTGCATTAACATTGTATTAGGTATTATAAGGAACCTAGAGATGATTTGAAGTATACAGGAAGTCAGGCATGGGTTATATACAAATATGCCATTATATATCAGGGGCTTGAGCATCCATGGGATTTAGTATCCTTGGGACATCCTGGACCCAATCTTCCACAGATACCAAGAGACAACTGTGTAGGGCTTTGTAAACCAGGGGGTATAGTGGAAAGCTTTTGGATGTTTTTAGTTGTTTTTATTGGGAGTTTTTTGGTTGGGTTTGTTTTGGTTTTTGCTTTTTTTTAGAGGTAGGGGTTTCACTATGTTGTTCAGGCTAGCTTCTAACTCATGGGCTCAAGCAATCCTTCCATCTTAACCTCCTGAGTAGCTGAGACTATAGGGCCACACTACTGTGCCTGCCTTCTTTGGATGGTTTCAAACAGAAAATTTTATAATTTCATTTGTTCTGCCTGCCATATGATGAACTGACTGTAGAAGAGAAAGAATGAGAACACGGGAATTCATCAGGAGTCTGTTACAACGGTCCAGATAAGATCAAACATGGCTTAGAAGGATGGAAGAAGTGGAAACATAATGTGGCTGTGTTAGAAGTATGT